TTGGTTCTGCACATCAGTTGTTGATTAGATGTTGATATGTGGGCGTGGCTTGCATATTGAACGTAAGTTTATAGTCAATAGTTGGGTAGCGGTGATGATTGAGAAGCAAGAGAGAAGTCTGTCACATGCACTAGAAAAATACAGTAGGTTTTAATTTCTCAATGACTTTGGTTTTGCTTCAGGACTTTTTACCATGATTTTTGCCATGTTCACGTCACATCTGTGGATTGCTGAAAATTTGACATGAAGTAAATCTGACGGGTCCAATAACAGCACAGAAGAGTTCAGAAACTTCCTAGAGAAGAGTTGAGTGTGCTAACAACAGTCGGCATGCTGCTTTCTAAACAACCAAAATGTTCTTGTTGGCTGGTTAGTCGACCAATCTCACTCAACCCTACTGTGTAAAATATCATACACCAGTTGAAAAACATCAGAATGCTAACAATAATGTTTTAGTCTATTTGCAGCAGGCCTTGGGAAAACATTGTGGTTCTAGCACTGCGAAAGGAATGGTGTGTGGGATTCATATATCAGTGATTACAGTCAGTGCCATTTAGAATCAACATCCCATAATAAAGCCACTTCAACAGATCAATGTTGATTAAAGATATCAATGTCTATTAAATGCATCTCACATACGCCCACGCATACATTAATATAAAACTCTATGTGGTTGCGTAATGCATTCAGAAATGGACCTCTGGAGAGAGAATACTAATTGAAACCCAAAACTATATGTTGGAGAGACGGAGGTTGAGTGTGTGTTTGCAAATGTGTCCGTGTGTAGCTGGGTGGCTTCGGGGGAACCAAACGCAGGGATTTATTCAGTGCCTAATGAATGTGACATTTAGCTGATATTTGCATGCCATGAGCCGATGCTTTTGCATGCAAAACGATGAGCTTAGATGAAATAAGTCTTGGCAATTACATACAATGATCCACGCACTTATTTAGTGCAAGTTGCCCACACTGGTCTTGGTGTTTGTCCCCAGCAACTTAATGTCAGAGAGCTCATTAACCGCTACAAACGAACCTGCGAAACATTCGAAACGAAGAAACGCAGAACTGAATTAAATCTCTGCAGATCCCAGAGTGATGTTATTTTGATCAAGTGTCCATAACCTTGAAAACAGGATGCAGGTTGCCACGGTGACCCTCTGTCACGTCCTATTGGCTCGCTGTTCATCACTCGTGTGATGAGGGAAGATTACAGTTAACAAATTTACCCGGTAACCAGGCGCACTCCCTGCAGACTCGCTCCCCCGGCGCTGAGGACACATGATGAGATTGTAGGGCTGTCTGGGGTGTCGACTCGTGCCGGATCACATCAGATTCTAAGAGCAATGGCATTACTCGTCTAATGGATATGTCATGGTCACCGTTTGACTGGCAGGCTACAGAATAACACACGTCCACTGGCTTCATTTAAGACGCGTTTAACAGTGTTAGCCTGCCAACCTGAGGCCTGAATAGTTGCTTGGGATTAAATTACAAGAGAAAGAATATGAAATGAAAAAGAAAAGATGCAGGATGCATCAAAAATGTAGGGCTTATTGATTAGAAAATGAAACAGACAAAATGTCAGAACAGTTATGAACAGGTAGGACTGTATTGGTTAAAAAGCCCATATTACGCTATTTTTAAAGTTCCCCTTTTTTTTCTTTTTTTTTTCTCCTCCTATACTAGTTTTACATGCATTCATGGCCAAAAAACACTTTAATTTTTTTTCATAATATCCATTACAGCATCAGCTCTTTTCTCACAGTGCCTGAAACGGTTTGATCAAGGATTCAGTCTCTCTAAACCCCGCCTTTCCCCCCCTTTCTTCGCCTCCTCTGATTGGTCAGATGGCTCAGTCTGTTGTGATTGGTCTACTCTGCTCTGATTGGTCAGATGGCTCAGTCTGTTGTGATTGGTCTACTCTGCTCTGATTGGTCAGATGGCTCAGTCTGTTGTGATTGGTCTACTCTGCTCTGATTGGTCAGATGGCTCAGTCTGTTGTGATTGGTCTACTCTGCTCTGATTGGTCAGACGGCCCAGTCTGTTGTGATTGGTCTAATCTGCTCTAATTGGTCAGATGGCTCAGTCTGTTGTGATTGGTCTACTCTGCTCTGATTGGTCAGATAACCCAGTCTGTTGTGATTGATCTACTCTGTTCTCATTGGTCATACGGCCCTGTCTGTTGTGATTGGTCTACTCTGCTCTGATTGGTCAGATGACCCAGTCTGTTGTGATTGGTCTACTCTGCTCTGATTGGTCAGATGGCCCAGTCTATTGTGATTGGTCTACTCTGCTCTAATTGGTCAGATGGCCCAGTCTGTTGTGATTGGTCGACGACTTGCCGCACATCATATATTATCATATAATTCACAGTGATACAAACAGTAACGATGTCGTGTGTATCAATCTCATCAAAGTGGATTTGCTTTGTCAGTTTGACATGAACAACACGAACCAAACTCTTCCAGTCCCAGATAAACAGTGTTTGAGGGCGGAGCAAAGCAGACCATGTTCGCATTATGCAAATTAGTAGCAAACCTACGTTGGTATGTGCAGGTGAGACTGGAATCACTGATGACTTGTTTCAGGGAGTTTAAAATTACTTTCTTTTAGGAGACAATAACTCCATTTATCAGTACTTTGACCTTTAAAACTTTGCAGACCTTTAACATTCACAATCAGCTCTATTAAACACTACATGGAAGGGTGGAATCCGAAAAAAGCACAAGAGGGGCATTTTGATTAATTTTCACATGCATAAATAAACAATATAAAAGCTGAGCTGGTTGCTATCATTCCTGACATTTGGACCCTATTAAGGTGCTAATGCCCTTGGCTGTGTTACCTTCAGTCTTTCTGCTAAGATCACACTCATTAATGGAAAGGTCTGTCATGACAGTTGTAGCATGGCAAGCTGCAAGCAATCACGCTAATAGGATTTCAGAACAATGTTTCACTTTCTGTCCGTAATTAAATGTGAAGCGAAAAACATTCTGTCAAGACCTCAGGGACACATTATTGTTTGTGTTCAACTTGACTGAGGAAATATTACTTATAGAAGACAAATTATTATAACTTACTTACACTCTAAGAAAGGTCTGTAAAAAACAGTGGACAATTTGGTAATATGAAGGAATTTCACATTGTTGTTGTTTTTTTGCATTGTGTTTTAGGGTTAAAGGAATTGGGTAACACTTGACTTGAAGGGGTGTCCATAAGACTGACATGACACCTTCATAATCATGACATGACATATGTCTTGAATATGAAACTAATGCACGTTTATGACAACTGTCATTAAGTGTCTTTTGTTCAATAATGACATTTTGAATGCATTGGCTGTCATGAGGCACTATAACTGTGTCATGAATATGTTTCTGTCCTCAACTACAGTGGTACTAATTTAATTTGTCATTAAAAAGTTATAATGTCTTCATGACAGCCAATGTCAAAACCAACCACATGACAGTTTAAGGTAATGTTAACCAATAAAGCCAGGTGCTTTCTTAAGTTTGATCATTAATCTGCTATGTCATGTTTATGACAGGTTGTGTTGTCTTAGTAATGTCAAGGTGTCATAACAAAGACATCTTAAACAATGTCATATTTGCATTAAAAATGTCATTAGTGGGCGAATTACACTTAATGACAGTTGTTTTAAACATGCATAAAACTTGTGTCATGTCATGATTATGAAGGTGACATGTTAGTCTTATGCACACCCCTTCAAGTCAAGTGTTTCCAGGACAGATCTGTACTCAGTAAATATTTGGCCATGTTTATTAAGAGGCATTAGAAATTAATTTATCATAAATGACAGTAGGCTTTATAGGGTTAATAGTCAGATAAATGGGTAACACTTTACAATAAGGTTCATTAGTTAACTACATTAGTTAACATAACTAAGAATGAACAATACTTCTACAGCATTTGTTAATCTTTGTTAATGTTAATTTCAACATTTACTAATACTTTATTAAAATCTTGTTAACATTAGTTAATGCACTGTGAACTAACATGAACAAACAACGAACAGCTGGATTAAAGTGTGTGTATATATATATATATATATATATATATACACACAGTACATATTTAGGATGAAATAGTGTATTGAGCATGATCTTATTTTAAGTTACAAGAATTCACATACTATTGCTCTATTAAGTGTGAGTGAGTGTGTGTGTGAGAGAGAGAGAGAGAGAGAGAGAGAGAGAGAGAGAGAGGGATAGTGTGTGTGTGTGTGTGTGTGTGTGTGTGTGTCCTTGTCCTCCGGTTGCTGTGCATTGAGTCTTAAAGTGTCTCTAATTATCCCTGACCTTCTGGGACGTTCTCCACTTTCAATCCTCACCCCTGTGGCTTCTTTCAAAATGTCCTCTTTCTTTCCTTTCGTCTCTCTCCTCTTCCTCCTGTTTGTCCCTCATCCGTAAAAATAACCCTCCAATCCCAGGCATCCATTAATTGGAACCATTTTTTTGTGAGACAAAAGAAAAGGGTTCAGGCAAGACCGTCCCTCCCGAGGTCAAGGCAGGACATGGACGGAAAAACACCTGGCAGTTTGGGGGAAAGTGCTTTTTAATAACACGACTCCTAGCAAATAGTTTTCTACCGAATCAAAACCCATCATTAACAGCCACTCAATGCAAATGGATGTAATTACGTATTCAAAAGATTTCAGATTTTTTAATATTTCCTCTCCAGTTATTCAGTCAAACATCAAAAGCTTTTTTGGGTTCAGTAGTAAATAAATCAAGAGTTGAATGGAAAATGTTTGATCACAGTCAAAGCGCCGAAAGCAGATGCACTCGCAGTGGCTAACAGACTAAACATTAGCTTGAAGAGCTATAAACAAACAGCACTATTGTGTCTACATTTACCCTTTGCCCCTTGTGCAGGGTTCAAAAGTTCACAAAGTCAAATAGTCAGAATGGTCAGTTGTCCACACACACACACACACACACACACACACACACACAACAGTATACAGGCAAACACTGCCTGTGAGGAGTCTACTTCTGCACTGGCTTGATAATAGTTGAGGGATATTTCAAACATCAGGCTTATATTCTCCCGGCTTTATCAAGCCCATTTTATGTGGAAGCTTGTTTCCGCCACAGAATGAAAAATAAAAAAGGTAATTGTGACTTTTTATCTCACAATTCTGACTTTTTTTCTCACAATTGTGAGTTTACATCTCGCAATTCTGACTATATAAATAAATACTTTATATAAATAAAGTCTAAATCCATAAAGAAAGTTCATACGGAGGCGTATTGCATTCACTTGAAGAAAAAAAACGTACTCTGTTTTTCTGAATTAACGAGTTAATTTTTCATGAGAAAAAAATATTTTGCTCTGTTTTTCTGAATTGACGAGTTAATTTTTCATGGTATTTATTTATTTTTATTTTTTTTGCTCTGTTTTTCTGAGTTAACGATTTAATTTTTCATGGAATTTTTTTTTTTTTTTTTTTTTTTTGCTCTGTTTTTCTGAATTAACTCGTTAATTCAGAAAAAACAGAGCAAAAACTTTTTTCTCACGAAAAATTAACTCGTTAATTCAGAAAAACGGAGCAAAAACTTTTTTTCATGAAAAATTAACTCATTAATTCAGAAAAACAGAGCAAATTTTTTTTCTCATGAAAAATTAACTCATTAATTCAGAAAAAACAGGGCAAAAACTTTTTTTTCATGAAAAATTAACTCATTAATTCAGAAAAACAGAGCAAAAAATGTTTTTCTCACGAAAAATTAACTCGTTAATTCAGAAAAACGGAGCAAAAACTTTTTTTCATGAAAAATTAACTCATTAATTCAGAAAAACAGAGCAAAAAATGTTTTTCTCACGAAAAATTAACTCGTTAATTCAGAAAAACGGAGCAAAAACTTTTTTTCATGAAAAATTAACTCATTAATTCAGAAAAACAGAGCAATAAATGTTTTTCTCACGAAAAATTAACTCGTTAATTCAGAAAAACGGAGCAAAAACTTTTTTTCATGAAAAATTAACTCATTAATTCAGAAAAACAGAGCAATAAATGTTTTTCTCACGAAAAATTAACTCGTTAATTCAGAAAAACGGAGCAAAAACTTTTTTTCATGAAAAATTAACTCGTTAATTCAGAAAAACAGAGTAGATTTTTTTTCTTCAAGTGAATGCAATACGCCTCCGTAGGTTCACCATATAAATGAGTACTATATAAATAAAGAGACCTGAGATCAAACTTCCTCGGGGAAAACAAACTCCGCATATGTGTAAAACAGGTAAGACTACACAAATAATAATATGACGTTTTCTGAGAACCATATCCATTATGAATGCAGCCAGCAATCCATTAAACACAATTCATAGGAAAATAAAGAACAAATGAGAAAAAATATAAACAGACCGCAAATTGCTCGACACAGATGTTATTTTCTGATGTCCTTGCCTATGTGAAAATTACATTTGAGGGCACATGAAGGCAGATGCCCTGTTGAAGATAATAGTCATAACTACAAATGTGCAATTCCAAAAACAGAGAGGAGAAAAATTCATAATGGCATTGCCATGGAGACTGTAATTATCATGGTCTGTCTCCACAGATGTGAGGCGAGCGAGTGAGTGAGGGCGTTAACACACACGCTGGCGTAACGGCGGTGAATATAGTAGCCCTCGCTGCCAGTAAACAAGCCTCTCCCAGCATCCCGCTGTAAAGTACACTATCTTCCTCACTGGGTTGCCATGGAAACCGGGAAGGAACAGAATTCGCTTGAAAGTGTGACGAAATGGCTGCGAGACAGACGGGTCACGGTGGACAGAGCGACGTCAAGTGGCCTTACCCACAAACATTTGGGCTGATTCAGTTGTGCATGCTTACAGACTGGATATATATACGTATATATATATATATATATATATATATAAATCATTATAATCAGCATTTTAGAATGATTCCTGAAGGGTCATGTGACTGAAAATGGGGCAATGATGCTGAAAATTAAGCTTTGTAAAGTTAAGTATGGGTTAGAATGGACAGAAAATATGGGCCTCGTTCGTAAAAGATAATTATTAATCTCACTGAACGACATGGATCTAATAAACTTGTGTATGACCTGTGTATGATCAAGACCTGTATTGAATCATAGGCTACGACACAATAAAAAATCATCAGTATGTGCTAGTGATGAACAAAAACGTCACGATGAACAACAATCACACGTTGATCTGATTGGTTACAAGGTGGTTTGTGACGTCAGAAACACCAGCGATTTCAAAGCGTGTTTTTGAGACTGTCTTTGGTTCACTGCAGTTTTAAGGAGGAAATACTCAGCAATGCTGTCCACTTATCAACTTACACGTGGATTGTCGTAAAGCACATTAAAAACACCACATAGACACATAAACAACATTAAAAGCTGGATTTCCACCACAGGGAGACTTTGAGTTTTAGCGCCATGTCGCCTTGATCGATACGCCATTTCATGTTGCAATTTTATTGGCTAGTCAGACGTAGGTCGTAGCAGCAAACACACTGTCAGATGATCATGTACATATACATGTACATTTTAGGTGTTAGTATGTCCATTTTAGGAGTTGGTATGTCCATTTCAGGTGCTAATATGTACATTTTAAGAGTTGGTATGTCCATTTTAGGTGCTAATATGTACATTTTAGGAGCTAATATGTTCATTTTAGGTGTTAATATGTCCATTTCAGGTGCTAATATATACATTTTAGGAGTTGATATGTACATTTTAGGTGTTAATATGTACATTTTAGGTGTTAATATGTACATTTTAAGTGTTAATATGTACATTTTAGGTGGTAATATGTACATTTTAGGTGCTAATACATTTTAGGTGCTAATAAGTACATTTTTTTTGGTGGTAATATGTCCATTTTTGGTGGTAATATGTACCGTTAAGTTACCAGTATGCAGCCTTTGGGTACAAAAGTGTACCTTTTGAAAAGGTACAGCCCTAGTGACAGCTTTTGTACCTGTTGTATGAAAAAGTTTTAATGAAATTGTACATAATCATAAGAACTGCAGTAGAAGTACGTTGGTGGAAAACACGCCTAGATTAGTATTAATAATATTGTAGTGCATTTAAAATGACTTTATATCTCAAAATCTTGAGTACATCAGGTAAATAACTCGCTTGTCTTAAAAAAAAACATCTCTTTTGACTTCCTTTTCTGGTCTCAGGTGCAATCCCAGTTTATGAACGCCCATCTTCAAGGCCATCAGCTGTTTCAATTTCATTTGACAGAAGCGAACAGGCGTACCCAATTTGAGCCTTACACCATATCTTCAAGAGCACAGAAACAAACAGATGGAAATTAAGTGCAATTCTCAGTAATTTTGATATATAATATCCCTGAACATCAGTCTTGAGCAAACTCGCCATATAATTTCTCATAAACTATGATTACAGTGACAGCGAAGGAATATTCCTGTCAGCCGCTGCCATTGTGTCAAGAGGCGACTGATGGCGGGACTTTTTTTAATTGACAGGTTGAAAGCTGTGGCCCTTGTGTCCTTAATCACTCCACCGGCATTAATTAGCCATTCCTCCTCCCCGCCAATTAAGCATGCATAAAGGAAAGAATTCAAGAAACTCATCCAGTCTGAGCTCCATATGTCTGTTGCATTCACAAAGCCCAAAATACCATTTTTGTTTTCACTCTTTTCACCAATTAAGAGCTGATCAAAGTATTGCTTGATTTGACAGAATCAGATCTGGCAGAGAAAAATGCAACTCTGCTGTATAATTTATTTCCACACAATTAATAAATGTATAACAAGATTAATAAGTAAATGAGCAGAACTGAGCGTGATGGCGCCTTCAAAGGAATTTATAAAACGGGGGGAATGTGTGCATGTTCTAGTCTAACAAGAAATATGCAAAAATGCAAATGACTCTGTTTTAGCATTTGTATTTGGTAAACTTGTTTCTCGCATTTTTGCATACTGACACGAACGATAATGGGCTCTTTTGACATCCATACAAACCATTTCGAACTGCTAGTAAATTCAGTCATCCAGACAATCTTGTAAATAAATCACGTGTGGACAAACACATGGAGCTTGAAAGTTAAAACATTGAAAAATGGCCAAGAGTGCATTCAGTATCTGCCATAAAATCCTCAAGTAGCTCCTTGGAGGCTTTTGTAACGGCTTCAACATGTTCCCTTGAATCGTGAACTCGCACCCACACATAAACACATTGTAAACACACCGATGCTTGCACACGTCAACACACACTTAACCTCAGCATGTCGATGTCTTCTGTTCATCAGTGTATGCAGATGAAAGGGAGGACCGTTACGACGCTACAGAGATCCTCGAGGTTACCTTTAATCAAACATCTGAAGTCGGCACCCGAGATCATCGTTTACTGTATGGGCGACTCAGACTCTGCAAAGGACCATTGTTACGTCCGTCAGTCAAATGATGCAACCGACAGTCTTTCATACGTGCAATCAATTCACAGGCCTGAAATGCATTATAATACAATAAAACCCGAAGATGTTCACATTTATGATACGCCTTTCATCATCTTTCATGGAATAAAAGCAGAGGAGCCTAAATGCATTAGTGTAAAGTGTCGGAAACTGTAGTGTGGAGGCTTAATTTCACACAGATATTCAATTCTATGAAGCACTCTCGAAAAATGTGTTGCGAGTGATTTCTGATGGAAAATTGCAATAATAAAGGGCTTTTTTTTAAATTTTGACTAATTTCTCCCTCGAAATAAGCATTGGTAAGAATATTTCAAGTTCTATATGAGTTAAGACAGCATTTGTGAGATAATGTTGATTACTACACACAAAAATAAATCAATTTGTTAATAACAAAAAGCAAAACTCAGTGAGGCACTTGCAATGTAAATGGAGTCAATTAATTGAGGATTTAAAAAGAAACGTAAAGTTTATAACTTTAATTCATTCTGTTATGTAATCATTTTTTACAGTTGTTTTAGGTTCTTAATCGTGATCATGATAACAAAGCTAGAAACCTGGACAGAAAAGGCTACTAACCCATCTTTGGGTCAAATATGGACAAACTCAGCCATTGGGTCAAATGTTTAAATAACATTTTTAATTCAACATTTGGGGTTGTCCATATTTTCACTGTAAAAAAAATATTGATGGTTTAACTTTAAAAAAGTAAGTAACCTGGTTGCCTTAAAATTTTAAGTTTATTGAACTGGAAAAAGTGAGTTAATACAATGAAGGAGATTAATTTAATCATCAGAAAGTCAAAATAATAAGTTATCTCAACTAAATAAATTATTTAAGTTGATTTGACAAAAGAAAAAATGTTGTGATTTCTAAACTGTAAAAAAAAAAATATTGTTGGTTTAACTTAAAAAAGTAAGTAACCTGGTTGCCTTAAAATTTTAAGTTGATTGAACTGGAAAAAGTGAGTTAATACAATGAAGGAGATTAATTTAATAATCAGAAACTCAAAATAATAAGTTACCTGAACTAAATAAATTATTATAAAGTTGATTTGACAAAAGAAAATATGTTGTGATAACAAATCTTGAAAATATTTTTTACAGTGCGTTGGGTTAAAACAACCCAGCATTTTTAGAGTGTAAGAGTCTCACGTAAATGCACGCATCGTGTACTGTCGTGTAATTTATACGCGAAAATTCGTTTTTACTACGCTATCTCACGACCAATTCGTACGAATTTGTACGAGTGATTCAAAAGTGTCTAATTCGTACTGATTCATACGACCTCACTCGTTCGAATTCATACGATTTGTCTAAACCCACGTGACGGTTATGTTTAGGGGCGGGGTCAGGGGTAGGTCATTCTTATGAATTCATACGAACTGGCTAATTCGTAAAATATGTATGATTTGGCAAAATCGTACTAATTTGTGCGAGTGAGGTCGTACGAATTGTTACGAATTAGCCACCCCGTAAAATTCGTACGAATGAGATCGGGTTGCTTTTTACGTGCACGTGAGACGCAGTTTTTCGCGTGCATTTGATACGCACTTCATTTGCCTGTAATACACACGCAACCCACACCACTACTTAACCAACCCATGCGTATCCTATGCACGTAAAAACTCACTTTAGCGTATAAATTGCACAAATGCATGCTATAAAGACGCATTTAGTGTGATCGGGTTGCACTGTAAGGCAAACTTTGGCGTATTTTTTTTTTTTTTTTTTTGGAATCAGCAATATGCCACAAATACTGTTAATTAATCTTAAATTTTACAGAAATATCCCTGTAAAACATTTTTAGATCACTGTACAGACATTATGGGGCCTGGAAACCAGTTTACTATGAGGAACCGTATACCAAACGCTTGGAAAGTAACAGTTTCAAACACAGCCTGTATTTCTGGTTCTCTCACTCTGAGTTACAGTGCAGGTCCATTCATCACTACCGTTTCTCATTTTCAAGGAGGAACCACAGTCATCTCGCAGAGGCCCTAATAAGAAGCAATGGCTTCCTTTATTACCCCTGTGTTTATTGGTCTAACTTTATGGCGTTCTGGCCCTTCCTCGATGATGTACTGTCAAACTGAGCGAATCCTTCATTCTCTGCTTTTATCTACATGATGGAGGAAAGTTGCTCAGTACCACAACATCTGTGCAAAGCTATTCATAGACCATAAAAGAGTTACTGTACCTATACTCAACATAGCACTTAGAAAATCTGGGATGACCACATCTATAATTCATCGACATGTACATTTTTTATGAAATTTATAAGAATAGTTCAACCAAAAATGTTGTCATCATTCCCACCTTTTAGCACTCAAATCATATTTATCGACACCATCCCGTTTCTTTGACACATCCCAGCAAGGATTTTGCATTTAAAAGACGTCAAATAGTCGTCCAAACACAGCCCAGACGTCTAGGCTGGAACAAGACCGTCGTCCAAGAGTAGACATCAATAAGACAACATGTCAAAGAAATGAAACACTCTTAGAAGAAAAGGTTCTATATAGAACATTAAAAGGTTCTATCAGCGCAATGTATTTGGAACCCCTAAAAGGTTCTCTAAAGAAACCTTTGTAAGGGTCCAATAATAAGAACTCTCACCGTAAAAAAAAATGAAAATAAAATTTTGGCAAAAGATTACACTTTTGTACCTAAAGGGTGCATATTGGTGCCTTAGTGGTACATAATAGCACC